AAAACAAACCCAGCCTCAAACATCGAGACTAGATTTAAGGAAGAAATTTTTTTTTTTTACGCTGAGGGTGGTGAAACACTGGAACAGGTTGCCCAGAGAGGTGGTGGATGCCCCATCCCTGGAGGTTGGTCGGGGCTCTGAGCAACCTGATGTAGTTGAAGATGTCCCTGCTTATTGCAGGGGAGTTGGACTAGATGACCTTTAAAGGTTCCTTCCAACCCAAACCATTCTATGATTCTGTGACCTGCACCAGGCCTTGCCAGGAGCACTGGGTATCTTTTGGTGGCTACAGCTTGCTGCCCAGTCTTCACCTATACCACTTTCACAGGTGCCTCTGTGCAATCTGGTGCAGGAGGTTTTGCAGAGCTCTCGGGCTCTGCAGAGATGCTCCTGTGTGTCCAGTCACTGACAAAGTTGCTGCTCTGTGGCACGGCATGTGGGCCTTCCCTGCTGTCTGTGCATCCTTGCAACTTGCTGCCAACAGAAGTATATCCCAAAAATAATACAGACTGCTTTTCCAAAGTCTTGTCCCCGGGAAGCCTAGCCCATTTCAGAGTAGCTTGAGAAAACAGTGCCGAAATATGTACTGGGTATCAACAGCTAATACTTTGCAGGGAGCTCATTTTAAGTCATCTGTGTGTTGTAAACATCCTCTGTCCTCTAAAGACTTTCCTGTAGGTTCTCTTCACCAAACTGCATCAGGATAGCCTTCCCCTGAAGTGAGTGCTGTCCATCATTCTCTTCTGTGCCACATGGGAGGCTGTTGGGTTTTTTTGTCTGGTGTGCCTTCCTGGAGTCCCTTAACTAGATATTCCATGCTTATTTAACCATGGATAGGCCAAATCAATGAGTTCTCACAAGCCTTGCTCATACAGACCCACAGTGACATTCAGACTCTATTTGACTAATTCACTGTACAGATGTTTAAGTCACAGAAATGTCGCTTCTCCTAGTTGCAAGCCATTTCTAGTTGCAGGAAACCGATGAAGAAAAAATGGGCTAGCACTTAACCCAAGTGCCTTCCTGTTGCATGGATAGACTGAGGCTACAGTCACTTTGCTGCTTTCTCTGTGCACATGCTGCTGGCAAGGAGCAGAGATTTCACTGACCTGGTTTATGGCCAGCTGGCAGGGCTGTTGGTCATCTCCCCTTAGCCCATGGAGTAGATACATACAGGAGAGCTGAGATGACTTGCCTAATTCAGGCACTTTACTTTTAGACATTTAAATGAAAGCAAGATTAATTCCAGCTCAACCTTTAAGATAAAGTAGATGGCTGAGCTGAACTTTTAATTGGTTGTATGGGGGTTTTTAAGCTTGTGTTTTTTTTTCCAGGACATCCAGTCACAACCAACATGAGGAACAAACTGTGGCTCCAGAGTATTTCCTTTTTCCTTTTATTCCAGTACAGTAAGTTCCCAGATATCTCTTCCAGGCTGTACACCCACAGGATTTATCTTGGTGGCTGTTGATGCAGGCTCTGCTGAGATGTGCATGGCACAAGGTTGCCATGGGACAGCAAGCACAAGATAGGGTACCAGGGGAGAGGGTTCCATGGGATAACAAGTTATGGAAGAGGCTCCATGGGCAGTGGAGGACAGACACAAGAAGGTGCACATCTGGGCAGAGCTCAGCCAGATTGCATACCACTCATACATACATACCAGCACCAGTGGGGAGAGTGCAGAGGTAGTGCCTGCCTTGCATTGAAATGTCTCCTGTTGACATTAGAGTAGGATTCCCTCCCCCCCCCCCCCCCAACCCCCCCCGCAAAAAAAAACCCAACACCTTTGCTATAGGGAAAGTTCTGGTGGCCAAGACCAGTGTATCCCCAGGGTTTATGGCTGCTGTTGGCCAGCCAGCCAGGGACAGTGGAGTGAACCTCTCCTAGTCTGAGCCCCTTTTCTCAGGGCTGCACTGTGCAGTCACTCCCCCTTTCTTGCTGGTTCCTACCCACTGTGAAAGCTTCAGCTGACTCAGAGCTGACTTTCTGAACAGGTCAGCTGGACAGAAAAAGGCAGCAACAAGTGTCTGCAGGGAACAGGTGCAAGTTTAGCATTTACATGCTGCTTCTAGGCAGAGCATTGGACCTGCTCCAAACCGAAATTAGTAGAAAAGATGAATTCAGTGTTACATCTTCCCTGCCATACAGGACCATTGTGATGTCTGGTCTAAATTTTGTGTAACACAAGCCAGGGAATTACCCTGTACTAATTTCAGTTTGGACCAAACTAGGTCTTACTGTTAAAAGTATTTGGGTTTTTTGTTTGTTTCTGAAGCTGCCAAGGATGAACAAATCATCCTAGATCTAACTGATTTTAGGACACTTAATTATGCCCTTCCCACTAAAAAGCTGTCCTCTTCTTAATTTTGTTAACAGATTCTTGCCCGAAGATATGCTTGCAGCTTACCAGCTACCTAGGAATAGTAGTCCATTTGACTGATTAACATAATAGCATAAAGAATGCTAATTAGCAATGCTTATTAGTACTTGCTGCCCCCTCTAAAGGAAAGCAAGTGTTTTATAACCCCATTTTTGTAGGAGAGTAAATTTAGGCTAAGGGAGAAAAAGTACGTTGTTCAAGACTCTGGAACAAACAGTGCTTGTACTAGGGCCCTCAGAAGAGCCTATTGAGGGCTCAAAATGGAGAGTTAAAACTTAATGAAAATTTTAGAACAAAATTCTTAAGTCAGTGTGAAATGAAAAAGTCAAAATGAAACAAGTGACAACCACATAATTTGAATCACTTACAGTTTAATAAAGCATATGTATGCCCTTTGGCCTGGTCTGTCACGAGCATCCCCAAACTTCTTCTGTTGCCATCCTGACTCTTTGCAGGGGGGGCAGTCTTGCATACAAATCTGAGTGCTGCCCAGAGCTCATGTAGAGAGAGCAGTGTGTGCTCTGATGCAACAGGACTGGGAAGAAACTTTTGTGATGAGTGAAGCCAGTGGGAAAAGTTGGACTTTGTTTTCCTTTGAATTTACTCTGACCTAGAATTAGGCTGCACCCTCCACTGGATGTGCCTGCTGTGCATTGTGACTGTAAATGCAGAGACAACCTGTTTGTGAGGAGTGTCGTTTTATCTGGAGGGTGGAACATATGTTTCTAGTGTATCAATGCACACATTGCCTGTGTTCCATGTCGATTGTTCTCTGCATACAGCATTCTCTTTAACTGTAAAATCAGGCATTGTGGTTGTTGAGCATATCACGTAGGCCTGCTTTCATCTTATGCAAACAACTCTTCTGAACACAAAGCGTGTTCAACAAAGGGAAGGTAGGAAGCAGGGAGTGCAGCTTCTCTAACCAGGCAAGCAAGCAACAGAATGACAGTGGGAGGTGAACTCACAACATGGTTAGCATCAGAGGTTTTGGGTGCCTGATGGCTGTGAAGTAACATGTTCCCATCAGGCTGGGGGCAGTCCTGATAGTAAGGGGGGGACCCATGCTTGATTTAAGCATGGATGTAACAACCTTGAGATCTTTCCCTAGATGATGACAATTTTATTCCCATCAAAAGGCGTGATACTGTACACGTAAGAGACGAATAGTCACTGTAGTAGGCATGGCTTGCACCAGCATGGCGTGCTGCATCTCCTACAGGCCTTTCCTCACTCAGTTATTCCTAGTGTAGTAGCGGTGGCTCTTGTCAGCCCAAGATGCTGTCAGGAGAGGACTCACCAATGCAGACATTCCTCACTACTACCATCTTCCCTGCTTGAAATCCAGGGAGATAACTTAAGTGCGTTATGCATAGAACAACAGTGCTTTTGTACAGCACATATCAGATACATATCATTGATACGTGAGCAGAGCTCTTGCAGAACAATTAGAGCATAAATGCTGCTTTGTGACCACTTTCAAATTAGCTAATTTTCTTAATGACCAGCATAAATTCTACAATTGCCTTTCAAGTTCTCTTTAGAAGTCTTTCAGTTTAAGTGATTAATAAATTGTGCCTACCACTTTAGTGCCAGAATGATTTATGGAAATTATAGTAACTACAAATTTGAAATATTTTTTGCCAAAATTCCATGGAAAGCATATTCCGAGCCTCTGGAACTGGACATGAAATCAATACTTTCATTTTGATCATATTGATGCTGCAGCTATCAAGCTGTAGAAAATAGTAAGCAGAGAGAATGGTAAAGAAAGAATTACTAAAACACCACTTTTTTAAAATGTGCAGAGTGCCATGTAGATGTCATAAAACAAAAACTAGACTAGCAAAGAACAGTACTCAGTTTAGGAAGTGGTATCATTAAAATGTTTGAATATGCCACGGTTTCTGATTGGGTAACCATGCTTCTTGTGCTACATAAGCTAGGACTCCTGCAGAAATAATATGTGACTGCTCTAGTGACTGTATAAGTGGGGACAGAAGTTTGAAAATTTAGTCACAATTTGGGCACTTCCTGGTATTTTGGCACACCATTTGCTGCCACAGCATTTTAATAGATTTTTGTTTGAAGCTTATCTTGCTGTCAATGACTTGCCTCCCTGTAGAGATGGAACACATCCGATGCTCCAAAACGGGAGACTTTTTTGGGGGGCTGGCACAGGGTGGTCTGTTCCCTTCAGGTTTAGTGGGAGCCCTGAGGACTGTGTATGTTGATATAAAGTTCTGCTTGCTTCATCATGGAAGCTTGATATTGTGTTTTCTCTTTCCAAACCTACAGCTACGTGTTGTGAAAACCTCACTTGCTTTGTGGACTATGTACAGACCCTGTCCTGTATCCTGAGAAATGACTTGGGTGCCAGTTCATATAACCTCACTGCAACATGGTATGTCTCAGTAGGATAAGCAAAGTACAGTCAGCAGGAACTTCTAACATGGCCATAACACAGTGGTGTCCTGTCCTCTTTGTTAGGTAGAATTCTTGTTCTTGCTGCCATGCTGGTTTTTACTTGGTACCTCACACTCCAGTTATCAACTGGTTTCTCCCGTAGCAAAGGATCCCTGGTTTCTGTGTCCACTGACTGTACTGCTTGCCACTGACTGCTACACTGACTCTGGCTTCCTTGGCATTGTTTTCTCTCCTGCCCTGGGAATACTTTGCCCTTTGCTGCTGTTAACAATGGACTTTCACTTGAGTGTGTTGGCAGGGCTCAGGCAGCTTGTCCAAGCCCCGTATGGCTGCTGTTCTGCCCCAGCAAGAAAGTGGGTGCAGTCCTGGGCTGTGCAGCCCTGGCAGGCACCTTTGCTTTCCACAAACACTTCAGCATCACTTTCCTCCTTAAAGATGCTTAGAAGGACAAAAAAATCTGTCAAAGTTCAAAGATAAATTTTTGATTTGAACATGTTGCCTTCTTTTTTCTATGCCTGGTGGTTCAGCAACAAATTAGTCCAACTACAGCATGTGGTAGATGTGGACTTGTTTGTTTGTTTTGGTGGTTTTAGGGTTCCTGAGGAAGATCCAGGAAATACTGTGGCTGCCTGCAGTCTCCTGCACCTGTCCGGGAACACTAGTCACACACAGTACACGTGCACTGTGGACATGACTGAACTCCTGGCAGATATCAAAGTCTGGGTGAATGTTACAGAGATAGCTGATAGGCGGCATGTGATTTCCAAAGGCTTTTATATGGCAGAGAACAGTAAGTACAAAAATAGTGGATTTGATAAATACTGTCTGACTTTATGTCTAACTGCTAGGATAGTCTGGGCAAGGAGTGGGCATGGCAGCCAGTGGTGCGGGGCTATGTTTGGTGTGCACTCAATAAGAGCACAGTGGTCTGTGTAGACGTTGCCATTGTAAACTACAGAAACATTTATGCTTGAGGCCGAGTTTACAGCTGGCTTGGCCTCAGCCTCTTCATGGGGAAACTCCTTTTCCTCATGAAGCAGTAGGTGATAAATTTCCATCTTAGACCAGTCTCATACCTAGACTATGCAAGTGTCTGTTCTTGGCTAGAATCTAAAGGGCAGAGGGAACTGCTTTAATTGCAAATGCCACAAACGTCCTCACAGGAGTCCCAGGAGGCTCTTGCAGTGGACACCTGAACCAATATGACATTATTATGGGTGGCACAAGGTATCCTAGACACAGTAAAGGTGGCACTTCCCCTTTCTGGGGCAATTCCTAACCATCTCTTCTGCATGGCAGGAAGACTGGGTGCAATCATACAGTTGACTTGGTGGAATGCTGGTGTGTTCTGTGTTGTGCAGCAAACTGAAGAAAAGGGGTGGTTAGCCAGGCAGACAGGTACCATGCAAGCATATGAAAAAGGATTTTTCTACCTGGATTCTTCTGAAATTAAACTTTACATGAGAAGTGTCATCTTTTTGATAAATGCCATAACATTTCAGGAAGGTGTCTTGCCCCCACTGACAGGCTATAGATTGGATAGTGGTGCTTTGCATGTCTCCTAGATGTCCCCATACAGAGGCATCATAGCTCAGTGACGGACCCTGCAGACTAGGGCTGGACTTTGTGCATTACTGCTTTTCGATATATGAAAACACCCTGCAGGGGATACAAAAGCTTGCCTTTTAGGCACTTACAACATGGGGATTTCCACTGGGTTTATGCAGTGTCCACTAGCCTCAGTTTTTCCTGATGTCTGTTATGTTGAGGGGTATTTCCCTAACTTTGCAAGTGACCATGATTACACGGAGTCCTCTATGTCATGAGAAGAACAAGGTGCTCTACCCTTTACATCTCCGAGGAGGTATTAGCCCCTTGTGTTTATCTTCTCCTTCGGTGATGAGGAGGTTCAGAGACAGGCAGAAGGCATATTCAGGGAAATGTGGGCCTGACTTCACTATGCTGCTGAGGTGTGAGGTTCTGTGCATGGCTCAGGACTGCTGAGCCTGAGAGGCAGAAATGTTGTGGATGTTGTCCTATGTAGGAGGAACCACCCCTGCCAGGGCAGTTTTGCTCCCTACTCGCTCGGCATTGCTGACACCATGCTGGGCCACCTCTTGTCTGCAGTAACGTTATGAAGGGTAACACCATCCTGTCTTCCAGTTAAACCACAGCCACCGTTCAATCTGACTGCTGTGTTCTCAGAGAGTTACAATATTTCTTGGGAAACCATCTACCAGAACTCTCCTTTCTATTTCTTGAATGAGGAGCTGGAATATCAGCTGCGTTATAAAAGAAGGACCGACACCTGGGAGGTAAGTGATGTCAGTTTACCATCAAGTAGGATGTACCAGCAAAGAGGAGGCCAGCACAACCAGGATAGGACCACTGGTGTGGAAGAAGGGTTTTCATGGTTTGGAAAAGGTGTCTCTTTACTTGCCTAGACTAACAGGCAAAACTGAAAAAAAAAAAAATCGAGAAGCAGAAGCTCTTTGAGAAGTATTAGACCCTGTGGGGAAGGCTGATAGTTCATTTGCTTCTCATGTTGTCCTGCATGGAAGGATCTCCCAGGGCCCCATGCAGCTATTGACCACCCAGAGCATGGCCTTGCAGAAACAACGTGAAAGCAGAGGAGATTACTTTGCAGGGCTCCTCACTGTGCAGCAGTGAGGGTAAGGTGGGAGCAGTTACTCCAGCCCTGAGTGTTTTGGTATTTAATCATTCACAGACTCAGAGGACTAAAGCTGTCCATGAAGATAAACGGACACTGGTGATCCTGCCATGGGAACTCCAGGTGAACACTGAGTATGAGTTCCAAGTGAGAGCCAGACCCCGAGAAGATACTGGCTACCATGGATTTTGGAGTGAATGGAGTCCTCTGCTGACATTGAAAACCAGCCCTGCCGGTACATACTACCAGCTCTCCTTGCCCTTCCAGTTGGTCCAATGTCAGAGAATGCTTCTAGAACTCTAATCAAATCTAATTAATTACTAGACTATTTAGAATTTGTTCTAAAGACAAGCATGTTTGGCTTGCTTACTGAGTACATGAACCCCAGGCCTAGGCTGATATGTGCTGTCTGAATGGACCTCCTCACTGTGCTGCAAAGCTCACCTTACAGCATGGCCCATGGGAAGAGGGTTTGGTGGGGTTGGCTGTAGGTTTGGGTGCCACAGCAGGAGTGCAGCCTCCAGCTTCCTTTCCAGTGTCAAACGTCCAGGGTCCTGCCTGCAGCTTTCAGAAATGGGGGAGATCTAGTAGGGGTGCCTCCACTACTGAGGCTTAGTATTGCCTTCAGCTGAGGGGAGAGGGGAGCATGCTCTCAGGGCTAAGTTCCGTGTCTGGACTCTGATGTTTGGTCATACTGGGCACAGCTGTTTCACTTGGTAGCCACCACTCCACAGGGAGTGCACAGTACCTTATGCACAGAAGTACACCAGTGCTTGTCATGGTGGAACAGAGGCTATGAAAATAGGGAGTCTTTGTTCAAATAGAGTAGGGCAGGATGACTGTGGTCAATGTCAGCAGGATGTGCTGAGCTTTCCTGCTCTCACTGATCTGCAGCTCGAACTGAAGTATTGCATGGTGCTGTAGCAGTAGGGTCAGGGTCCATTTGCTAAGAGTTATCTGAGTTCTGGGTCTCAAAGGTGCTCCTTTCCATCACAGGTGGAGAGCAGCCAACAAGCACTCACCTAGTCAACACCTCTTCACATGTTTCTGGCCAGCTGCACTCTCTTTTCCCTTCATGGATCATCTGTGGAGGTGTCCCTAAACCATGAGGAGTCAGAAACACCAGGGGTCTTTGAGGCAGGGAGCTGTCCTGCCCCAAGCTGTTGGTCTGTGGTGCAGCCAGGCCATAGGACAGCTGATACACTGCTCCTTTCATTGATGCAGTCTCCTCTGAGCATCCTCATTCAGACCTCATGTCTGGAGTGCTGGGCCCCAGGTGACAACCTCAGTGTCCCTAAGAGAAAGTCTGAGGTAGAAATTGAGGGTGTCCTCTCACCATCTCCTGCTTACTGACCAGGGTAGAAATGCAAGGTGAGCCTGAATGACCCTGTCTCTTTCTCCAGCAGTGACACAGACCACAGGCATGGGATGGCTGCTGCTGTTTGGTGTTGCCGTGGCAATTGCTGCCTCAATCGCAACTTTTCTGGCCAAACAGCGGAGGTAAGAATGCTTCAGGAAGCTGGAGTAAATGCTCCTATTCTGTCTTGTTAAAGATGGGGTGTTCACATGCAGCCTTCTTTGCATCTTGTATGCCCATGCACGGACACAGCTATGGGCCTGTGAGGGCCAGCAAAGCATGGTCTCCAGCTGGTGTACTGCCAAGAGTGCCTTACTTTTTTCTGGGGCTCTGCTGGTTGGGACAAGACAATGGCACATGGGGACTAAGCAGGGGCCACTCAGCCTCCTGGGCTGTTCTCCTGGTCTTGTCTGGGCTCTGCAGTTGCCAGATGGGAGCAGTAGCCATGGCTGGCCTGCCCCTTTCCGAAGCTGGGCCCCTCAATGCTGGCTGGGGGCCTCTCTCCTTTTTGGAGGGTCATGTGCCCTTGCAGAGGTATGGAGTGCCCACTCACACTGTGGGCACAGCCCATAGCCACAGAAAAAGTACATAGGGCAGAGTTGTGGCCTGCAGGTGTAGACCATGAGCCAGCCCAGCCTGAGGGGAAAATGCATTTCCAGCACTTAGTGCTTTTCCAGGAAGGAAAAAATTGGAACCTCTTTCCTTAGCGTGAATGTTGTGTGCACAAGTCCTGAGGGCTGAGGCCCCACCTCCTGTGAGGCTCACAAGAAAGGCCATTAGATGGCTCTGACAGCACAAGACATCCTTGGATCCTCAGCCACTTGCTAACTTGTGAGGCCAGTGAGGCTGGGCAGGTGATTTCAGCTGCTTGAACTGGATCTGGAGATTCCTTGCTTTGCATCTGTAATGTGTGCTTAATCCCAAAGCCTTTCTCTTTTCTCTTCCAGCTTGTGGAAGAAGATGGCTTGCATCCCAGACCCTGCTCCCTTTTTCAAACCTCTTTACCTGGTGCATAATGGAGATTTCAAGGTATAAACGGGCTACACAAGCGAGTGGAGCATGTGACAAAGTTAAACTAAAAGGCCCATCATGCTATCCTGGGCCAGGGATTCTCATTAGGGCAGTGGGAGGGGAAATCTATCTCAAGGGAATGCCAAATGACTCCAGATATAAAGGACCAGAGCTCTCCAGTGTCTGTTCTGTGCCACAAAGGCCTTTGTCACATCTGTGATGGTTATTCCCTGTAGGTGCTGTCTCAGTGGGTGAGCTGAGCTCCTATGTGATCTGTGAAGCCTGAGAGCCTGAAGGGAGTGGACAAAGGGATACCAGGACAGTAACTGGGATTTTTCCAAAGCTCCGGTCCCATGCTGCCATCAAGGCCATGGAGCAGACCTCATTGTAGAGCCAGATCTCCCACTCCAGCCTCTGCAGTGACATGAGCTCAACATTAAGCCTTGTAGTTCTCTCTGAAGAGTCACTCATGCAGACAATAGCTATGCATATCATCCTGGAAAGATGGCTAGAGCTTTGGGGGCAAATAACTGCTGTGTGATAGTATAGTGCAGCTGCCTCCCTATGAAGGAAGTGTCTTTGAGTAACTCTGCCTAGCCCTCCCAAATTCTCTTCTCATTTAACACCAGCCAGACTTGCTCATGTGACAAAATGGTTTGCAAAGACTGCAGAGTTTGAAGTTCTCAGGATAGAAAAGTAAAAGAACATTGAACATCCATAAATAATGGTTGTATTAAGTTGAAGAGCAACTCACAATGCCATTATCAAACTGTAAAAATGCTAGCATATGAGTGCAGACATCACTGCCTTTTTCTGAACAAGTTCCTGTTGTTACAGCAGCACTGATCAGAGATACTTCAGTGTCTGCTTTTTGTTTCTGCTTTTTCTTGGACCCTCTGGCAGAGGGACAGCAGCTGGGCCCTAATGATCTTCATGTACTTTCCCACTGCTGCATGGCTGATGTTTGCAATTAGGTTAAGCAAGTAGTCTTGGATGGGTGCCATTCAAGCTGAAGCCTGCAGTGACTGTCTCCCTTCCTGCCTTCCTCTTTCAGCCCCATTATGGCTTCCCATATCTGTACTAGAGGTGTACTTGCATCCTCTTGTGAGGCAGGTGGCCCTGGTTGCTCTCAGGGAGAGGAACCAGGACCAGGTGGACTCAATGTGGGAATTTCTGAGAGTCACGGGCTAGTGCTCACAGGGGAAGTGAAAACACCCTGCATGCCAAGAGCCATGCTCTTCTCAGGGTAAAGCCATGGGGTTCTCTATTCTGTGGGAATTAAATTCTTCCTAGTTTCTAGTTAGGCTGTTCAGTGCTGCTGGGAAGGGAGTGAGCCTCAGTTGCTAAAGCTTGAGTAACTTAATAAATTTGCAGATTAAAGCAGCAGTTGCCCACACAGCCACAGCACAAGATGTACAGGCAGGACATGTCAAGAGGATGTGGTGACATCACTAATATGTGAACAGACTTGTCATTTTTGGCTGGCAAGAAACCAATTGATATAGGGCTTATTCAACTGCATCCTGTCTGCATCAAAGCAAGTGGTTAGGTTATGTCTGTGAATAATGATCAGCAAATTACAATAGTAATGCTCTGCAGACAACAGTCCTGAATTGGGTAGGAAGCAGTGAAAATGTTAGAGGAAAAGTTAAGACATAAAAAGAGAAGGGAAAGCAGAGGAACATTGTTTACTCTTGTGTGTACATGGGTCCTTAGATTCATGTTGGGCAGGAATTTGCAAAGAACTGTCAAAAGGGAATAGGAAATATTCTTCCTGCTCAATTCTAAGAAAGGGATTTCCTGCTGTTTCTTCAAATAGCCTTTTGCACCTTAAGTGACTTTCTGTCCATTACAGCTTTAATAAGCTCTTTGTAGCTTAGGTTAAAAATAAATTAAAATAGACTTGGTGCTTCCTGCTGTAATGAAGATTTTTCCATGCTCTGTGTCAGAGGGTAATAAGCTGCATTAAGCTGTTCTCTTCCCAAGTACTTTGCTCATGTCTAGTTATGCTGAGTGCAGTTTGGGACAGGAGGCTGATATGATTAAGGCAGTCTCACAGCTGTGGCAACACCCAGTGATCATGCAGCACTCTGTCAGAAGCCTTCACAGTGTTTATGAAGCTCAGCATTGTTACCTATTTTATACACAGCAGAAAGTGGTGCACTTAGAAGAGCCTTGACGCAGCTCAGCCCTTAGGCAAGTGTCGGACAGGGAGCAGAACCAAGTCTTGAGTCTGTGCTGTGTCTAGCCTCTGGACTGCAGAATCCTCTAGTAGGACTCACTGGCATTCATTAGTGGCACATGCCTAAGGTTTGCTGTGATCTGAGTGTTGTATTCAGTGACTTCTTCAAAAAGAACAAACTTTTACTTTGTTCTTAGATCAGAGAAACCCAGAGGTGCCTTTACTCCCAGATGTGGCTGAATGTAAGGGGCTCGTGATCTAGAGATAAGGCATGGCACAGGGCAGAATGTAATACTAATGGTGATACAGAAGGGCAAGATTCAATGTGTGGCACTCCCTAATCATCTAAGTAAGTGTTATCTGCAGCAGGCTACAGCTCTTTGAGGTCCCCATCCCCTCCCTACCCCTGCTTCCTTCTTCTCACTGTGAGAAAAGGCTGGTCTGGGGCATGGTTGCATACAGAAGGTCAGGAGAAGCCTTGCTCTGACCCTGTTCCCAGGGAACTGAGGTGAGGGAAGTGGCAGAGCAGGGCTGTGTGTTTGTTGGGTGCAGATGCAGCACACGGGGAGAAGCGGACCATCCTTCCTGAAAGAAGCAGTGCCCAAGACAATAGGGCATGGGAGACTTGGGAGGAGACCTCTGGCTGATGCACGAAGGAATGCTGCTATGGGCAGCGGCATTCTTTGCAGCACAGAGAAAACTGCAAAGCCATGCAAACCTCTCAGAGCTAATTATTTTCAATTAATTGAGTCAGTTCTCCTGCAGCTGCCTGCGTCTGGTAATAACAGCATCTCATATCCTGCTATTTTGGAGGATTCAGTGATTTTGGAGTTTGACTTTGCCTCTAAAAGCATAAGAACTTTGGTCATTTCTGTGGAACCTCAAACCTGATGATACTATCCTCTCTCTCTCTCCCCCCCCCCCCCCCCCCCCCTTT